ACAAATATTTCAAAATGTATCCGATACAGAATTCTTCTTCTTTTCAGCTCCTAAACATACATCGTGTTTAGTTGAGAGAGTGATGAGACATTCGCTGGAAATTGCAACCATTCGTTTTTACCATGTCCATCGTTTATTTTCAAAATTGTATGAGACTTTCGGAAGAACCACCACATAGGGCAAACATTTTGACGACCTATGCAATTTTTTGTAGCTCTACTTCTTGTCTTAAGAATTTCGATGATTTATTTTTTGTAGTGAGCAAATTTTACATTCAGCCTATTTTAACCTCGTAGAACACAAAATGTTCACCTCAGTCACCAATCGATGCAGTTTTTTCTTCTCCTTTTAATACTTGTCATTTTTGCCAAGACAGACGAAATTTATGGGGAAAATCGCAATATTTCTCAATTTGAGGAGTGCGCACTGACGTAACCTATGTTTCAAAATCTTCATAATTTGATGCGAAAATCGCTCATCTACTTAGCAATGGTAGCGGTAGTAATAATCGAGTGTTGAAACCTCAGTATTTTTGTAGGTTTTGCAGTGTTTGGTACAGTAACATGTTATGCGATTTTTCCAAAACACAAGACTTTTAGAAAATTATTTAGCAAAAATTTGAAAAAATAGCTGAAAAAAGAAGAAAGTTGCATAGGTCGTCAAAATGTTTGCCCTATGTGGTGGCTATTAAGGCTCTTCCGGAAGTCTCATGCAAAAATTTTGAAAATCAACGATGGACATGATAAAAACGAATGGTTGCAATTTCCAGCGAGCATCTCATCACTGTTGTATGATGTTGAGGAACACGACCAAGATGGCAACTTCTCTTTATTAACTTCGGCTAACGTTTCGGCGCAATCGCCTTTGTCAGAGCCTAGAAAGTCGAATACATAAGGAACTCCTTCCTCAGACGTCAATGAAGAAGCAAGAAAATTCAATTGGAAGCTAGTACGAAGGAAAGAAACAGAGTCACGGCTGAGCAATACTCACCTCGTTGCATAGGGGGTACGAGGGACCACCAACTGTGCAATAACTATACCTCTGCCCTATTTATAGTAATGAGGTGACCTGACCCCTCAGAAACCGCAAAGGGCCTGATATGGCGCGAGTTCGTTGGTTATTGCAATACACTCCTCCTTCCGGTTCATTTTTGGATTTTTAGCGCTGATCCAAAACGCCAAAATTTTGTCCTGTGAACCCGAAGTCCTATCGCGCAAGACTTTGGAAGCGTTTTGGATCAGCGCTAAAAATCTAAAAATGAACCGGAAGGAGGAGTGTATTGCAATAACCAACGAACTCGCGCCATATCAGGCCCTTTGCGGTTTCTGAGGCTAGGTCAGGTCACCTCATTACTGTAAATAGGGCAGAGGTATAGTTATTGCACAGTTGGTGGTCCCTCGTACCCCCTATGCAACGATTAAGGTGAGTATTGCTCAGCCGTGACTCTGTTTCTTTCCTTGGTACTAGCTTCCAATTGAATTTTCTTGCTTCTTCGTTAACGTCTGAGGAAGGAGATCCTTATGTATTCAACTTTCCAGGCTCTGACGAAGGCGATTGCGCCGAAACGTTGGTCGAAGTTAATAAAGAGAAGTTGCCATCTTGGTCGTGTTGCTCAACATCATGAAACATCGTTCATATCTATGCCAAGATTAAAGAACAGTCGGAGTTGGAAGATATCTCATCACTCTCTCAACTAAACACAATGTGTGTTTAAGAGCTGGGAAGAGGAGAAATTCCGCATCGGATACATTTTGAAATATTTGTTTATCTTCACTCTAGCATGTTTGCCGATGGATTAAAAAAACTGACAAAATTTTTGCAAATTTTGTGAGCAAACTGGAGATTTGTAGGATTTTTTTTTATTGAACCAGGATATGAATTTTCGGCGATTTTTTGAGCCTTCAGCACGACACCGATTTTGGATGCAAACTTACGATGGGTCGAAGGTGCGAACTTTTGCACATCATCTTATAGAGCTTATACAGGCATCATTCGAGAGAGCTTGCTTGCTCTCTCGAATGATGCCTGTATTGAAAACACGAAGTGTGCGACTTAAGAAGTCAAGTGTAACAAGATTTATATTACACTTAATGCAACAACAATCGCAAGACTATCCGTTTTCTTGCATGCATAGTTACAACCTACTTTTACCACGCGAAAAAACTGTATCCGCTTTGGGTTCGCAGTGGCATCCAATGTTTAAAAATTTCCGTTTTTGTAAATGCCTGATTGCCGTCAACTGCAATGTTGTGCGCAACTTGGCAAAATTGGTTCAATTTTTATTTTCCCACCTTTTGTTGTTAATTCTATGCTGCTCGCATCAGCACGCTCTCATAAGTGCCCTTTACTTAATTCTAATTTTAGGCCTCAAATCTCATTTCTTATGTTCTTCTTTCTGAAGGAATCTTTTCTGCCTTGTACCTGCTCCTTGTCTACCTTCATTTTCAGTTTTTTATCAAAGAGTAAAGTGACGCATTGCGAAAACGTCGTTATTTGCTAAGCAAGAGAGGGCCAGGCAACGTCACCTTTCAAACACATTTTGACCTTCTCAAAATCACATTGATAGAATTGAAATGCTTATCGCAGTTGTGACTGATTTTATTGTGAAAAATTGTAAAAAGTACGTTTTTCTTTGCTTCTCCTTCAGTGTTTCCGCAGTGATTTTTTCAGCTTGGGCGATTATTGCTCAGAATAATGAGCACAACAATCCAGACAACGTCCCAGGAAACAGAAGACGGAAAGCGGAGGTAAAACCCAATGGCCGCATCAAAAACTATAGTGGCTTTGACGTGCATTTCGACTTAGAACAAAACTTTGCATTTTTGGCCAATTTTACTAATGCTTATCTTTTTCTTGATGATGACTACTTCCAACACGGTCGTTTTTAAAACAACAAAAAAGAGATTAGTTCTTCCTCGTTATTCCCTTGTAGTGGTTTGCCTGATCCTGGAGCGCAAGCCTGCAATGTGAAATAACGCTAAGTGAAAGATTTTGAACTTATTGAAACGTTGTGATCCGGTTCTGAAATTTTCTTTTGCTTCTGCTACTTGTTTTGCATCTTTTCCACTTCTCTCAATTTTTGTAAACAAGCTTCACTTTTCATTTGAGAGAATTTAAACGATCTTCACTTTTAAAGCCTTATCTTTAGCCTATCGAATTTATGGCTGCTCCCCCCATCGCAGGGATTCAAGCAAAGGACAATGTGCTTGTTTATGAAAATTCCAACATTTTACATTATTCAGAACTTCGATTTTAGTTCTGTGAATGTAAGTACATTATCGCTTTTCTCTTCTGCACATCCACAACAAGAGGAGCCTAGCACATGCCATAGTGCTGTTGTGGCCACTTGTGCAATTTTCCAGGGTGAGAACTAAGTTCTGTTTTCTTTTTATTTTTCATAAGCTTTCGTTTGAGCGCCTTGCACTTGGAACTGTAAGGCTACAAACATACTCCAACTACTCTATTTTGCAAACGCAAAAAATTTATACCGCAGTTATGCGTTCTTCAAAATCTGGTAAAGTGCGAGATTTCACCAGGCAAAAAAGTCACAGCCTACATCAAAATCAGATCAAAGTGATTAGCAGAAGCTGGCTCACTCAGCTCAATAGAAAAAACGGAAGTAAAAGACAAGTTTAGACTTAGGTTTCCAGAGAAGTTAGAAGAGTCGCAGTAAGCTGCAATGAACATCCGTCAATAAGCTTAGAAGTTTATCAGGAATTTGCTTATGGAGAAAGTTGACCTACTGACCAATGATGTTGTGAATAGAAGGAGTGTCTAGTGTCAAAGGGTTTGAAGCAATTTAAATACACATCAAGATAAAAAAGCGTTTATTCGATGACGAGTAACAACACGACTCTGCGGCTAAGCTAACGCTTACAAACTATCAGTCAATGTTGGGAAAGTTCTTGGATTCAGAGGGATTACTTCGATCAACACTTGACTCTAGTAGAGGAAAGTTTTGCTGTGTTGCTGTTGTTTTGGTAAGCTTAATTCTACTGCGTTAGCCTCTTCTGCTCGCGTATTCTCCTTATCCACCATTTTTATGCCATGCTAGAAGGTCAAGTCAGCCTCTCTCTTTCGGCCACTAAGGATAGGTATCTTCAGTAGAAAACAGAATAGTATGATTAAGAAATTGAAGAAAGGTGAAAGAAAATTTCTGGAAAGTAATTTTTTACAGCTATAAAATATCAAGTGGACACTTTTGAAGGCCAGGCATGCAATTCTTGCAGAGCCATTCGATTTTGCATTCACTGTACGTGATGTGAAATTAGTTTTGGATTAGCTCTCTGCAACCTTGGTAACTTTAGCCTTTACAATTTATTTTGAGTCTCATTTTTAGCTTGAACTTGTGTAGTTTTTTCTTGGTTTGGTTCTCAAGATGTTGACAGAACGTGTCAAAAAAATCTTATCGCATTTTTTACAGCTTTTGAAGGAAACTGAGCCTGTTCGACTTTGATGATTGCGCAAAGAAAAAGCGGTCGAAGCACAATTTCCTCGTCAAATGATTCTATGCTTTAGCTTGGTGGAGACGTTTCGTATATTTGCGAGACACAAAAGATGAAAGCAAGTGTTTTTCAAGCACTCCTGACTTACTTTCGCTTATCTTTATGAAGTTATAAATCGCGTTTCATATGCATCTATGACATGGTCTACTCGTGCGTTCCTCCTTTCGTTCGGAGAGTACATATCAGTGGTGTTCCGTACCGCATTTCCGCTCTGCATCGTTTTTATGCTATCTTCGCCTCCCAGCGAGCGCGGATTGTTGCGAACTCGATAAATAAATTATCTACCCCCAACACTGACCTGCCAGAGGCAACCTGACAAAGACTAGCGCAAATATTGCTGAGAAAATCATAGAAAAGTAAGAAAACTGTATGAATTTTCAGACGTGATGAGTAATTTGGAGTGTGGAGATTGATATATACGATTATTTTCATGTTCTTGTGAAAGAAGAAGGTGTAGATTTGAGTTAAATCATATAAGAAGAACATGAAAAACTTTTATGACGGTAACGGATAAAAGTAATTTGAAGCTCCACTGCGTAATTTACTGAGCAACGGCGGCTTAACCTTATCGGCATCGATCTCATAAGTAGTTGTAAAAACACATACAAATAGCCACCCAATACCATATGATGATGTAGGATCGTGCTCTACGATCACAAACACATACCAGCATCCAAAGCAACACAGAGACGACGAAAACTGGAAAAGTATGTGTCAAATTGCATCATATCATGCTGCTCGCTTTTTCGTACAGCAATTATGAAAACACTTATTATTAAGATTGTCTTCAATTTTGAATGTGGAAGCTAGTATAAGATCACAAGCACAGCACACCAACAAGGCCTCTAACAGTACGGAGGCGTTACGCTATTCAATATCATATTCTAATAGCTACTATTATACATAAAGGTTCACAATAAGACTTCCAAGTTGTGATCGATTTAGGCTTTCTTTCACGACTCAGAAGACAATTGAGTATTGTTATTGGCAAAGAAAATCAGGTTCAAAACCAAATTTCTCGCTTTCTAGATTAGCTTTGTTTCTCTTGGGCAAAGACTCAAAGAGAAAAATTATAGATTACTTCTCTGCAAACGAGACTGGCTCGAGCTCTTTTGCAGTTGTTTGGCCCTTTTCCATCGAAATGAGGGGTGGAGCGGTGTAAGTCGAAATGCACGATCCTATCACGCAGTTTAAGAAAGCGTTGATCAGAGAGTTTTCATAAAAAGACGAAAACTCGACAGTCAAGGAACGAGCTGATTTATCTAATACTATTTTCTGTCGATTTCTGAGTAGCATTACTAAATGGCATTTTCTGACCTACCTCTACTCCAATACTGACGCGTGCGCAGATTGCTACCGCCTCTACCATGGCGGTTACAAGCCTGCAAGCTCATCCATTCCTAATAATAACAGCAACAAATTGTAAACGTACGTTGATGTGTAATAAAGGACAACATGATACCCGTTTTCGCCATCCACATAGCGACTGGTTTCGCTTCCAGCAGCAGCTAGATCCCTTGCCAGCAGGTCCAGCTGGGGCTTATGAGTCTGTAAAACAATGACTGCCAGTAATTGCTGACAAAACATCCTCCGCTTTTCGTTACTCATTTTCAAAAATAAACGAAAGCGAAAAAATAATTTTAATGTATTATGTAGTGACAGAGCTCCTCGAGACTTAAATCTTCGCAGATCGATTTTTTGGAAAAAGTGTCTTCTAAATGATCCAAGTTAGACAACGAATAACGTTTATTCTCGTGCTGTGAAACCTACTGACATTATTAAGAGCGATTATTTTGTTATGCTTCTCTCAAAGAAACACAAACATTTTCTTTGTTTTTTCTGTAAAATAAATATTGTTCCAATGAGCCGCGTTTCTTCACGAACTGAATGTTTTTCATCATCATATTTATACATCGACGACTGTCTTTGCTGAAGATGGCTTTTGGTAGTGCCTGCACATGATTTTAAGCACCATCACTGACCTTTACTGCTTTGCAGGTGAAACTCAAACAGCAGTTATAAAGGATTATTGGCACATTTGAAAAGAGCGGAACTTCCTTGAAACGAAGATATGCTTTAGATGAATCTTTAGCAAATTTCGGAAATCTGAATATGGCCTATGAAAGTGAAGTCCCAGCGGTAGGCTTGGACTCCTTTCAGCATCAAGTCAGGCTAATTCTAATGACGAAAATTGCTCACAAGGGAATGCCCAGAAGTCGAAGTGCTCAATCCAAGCAAGCTGCCTACCATATGCGGCATTCAACGTTGACTTCAAATCTGTATTCCATATCTGCTCAGCGCCTCTGTGGGCGAAATTATGAGCAGCTTTACTGCACAAAAATCGTACATAAAAATTGCGAAATTGAGCATCTTGGTGCCCTTTCAGCTCATCTTCAGGCTTTTCTTATATATAAAGCTGAATGTCTGTTTGTCTGTCTGTATGGCTGTATATCTTTATGTCTGTACGTATGTTCCGAATAGAAAATTCCATTTCTGAACCGATCCGAACCAAACTTGGCAAACATACACTTCGGGCCCGGCGGGTGTCATAGATTACTTTTCGTCATCGATCAATATCGATTTTATTGATTTTTATCGATTATTTTGCTGAATTCACCTACGGGGCTGTGAGTTGGCACAGGGGGGTAATCGAGCATGGGGATTATGAATACAATATGAGTTTTCAGAATTATCGATTACTTTTATCGATTTTTTGTAAAGTTTGACCTGCGGGTCTGGTGGTTTGCACAGGGGGTGGGGGGTAATCGAGCATGCTGATTACGAATACAATATTGGTTTTTGGAATTATTGATTATTTTATCGATTTTATCGATTTTTTGGAAAGTTTGAGCTACGGGGCTGGGAGTTGGCACAGGGGGTAATCGAGCATGCTGATTACCAATACAATATTAGTTATTTTGCATGGCGGTCTCCAGCGCCATCCTGATAAGCTGTCCCAACGCGTGAAGTACGCGGCAAATCTCTCTCCCCCTGTTTTTGCTTGCAGCCGCCGAAGGGTGTATCGCGCGCGGCACTGGCCCTATAAGGAAAGCATTGCGGTCGTGGGAAACTTTTATACCACACGAATTGTCTTTATCGTGGGAACTAAGCGCGATATTCTTGAAACAGCACTTTAGATAATTCCCTGTCAAGGTTTCAGGCAGATTCATGATTTTTTACCCGCCGCCACGCGAAATGACTACGATATACGTCATCAGCGGCTTGAATAGCCCCCATATACCGTTGTGAGCAAGACCCACCACAAAAACATTCTAGGGCCCGGATAGCCGAATAACGCCATCAGTTTTCAAAATTATCCTTACTTTTATCGAGTTTATCGTTTTTGCAAAGTTTGAGCTACAGGTCTGAGGGGTTGGTAGGAAGGTAGGTGAGCATACTGATTACTAATGCAGTGGGAAAAGGGAATTGCATGTCGAAGTGTGCACAGGTAAAGGTGTACAGGGATAGAAATGGAACCTTTATCGTTTTTGGCAGGGCCGGGTAGAGCCGGGTAAGCCAGCTAGTAAGGAATAAAGTAACTTAGCTACATGTTTCGACCCGGCATTAAGAATACGGCTCTAAGCTGTCAAACTTGCGCTTTGCATGCAGGATTTCTTAGCAAAATAACGGTCCCCAACGGCTCATAACTTCGCCCACATAGGCGTTAAGCAATTATGGAATACAGATTCCAAGTCAGCGTTTTATGCTGCGTCTGACAATATGCCACTTCGATTTCTGACCATTTCCTTATCAGGCTAATTTATCTGGAAATTAAGCTTACTACTGCGGATGTGTTTTCTTAAATCACTTTTAGGACTTCTGAGATTTTTAAACACTAATTCTTTTAGGCACACGAACGTGTCAAGAAAATCTTGCTTGTTTGAAATAGACTATTTGCCCGCATATTCAGTGTTCTACATTGCCCATTTCATTCAAATAGTTTTTGCCAATACTGAAGCTGTTCTGTTAGTCTTAAGTACCGCCATACTTGTCTAGATCCACTTGATTGATCCGCTTAATCCGCTTCGCGCAAAACGCGCGTCACAATTGTCATTTGGCGTTGCGTACAGCGAATTCGCGAAACCATAGCATTCCTTTTTACCTACGCGACGCCAAATGACAAACTCTGTGCGCGCATGCTTTGCACGAAGGGAAACAAGCGGAGCGAGCGGATCAAGCGGATCAAGCTTATCAAGTGGATCAAGAAGATAAGTATGACAGGTGCCTTGTGCGATAACTGCTCGCCGATAAACATGCAAAGCGGTACAAGTCAGTGAGGTGAGTCATGGCAAGCACTGTAGACAAGTTTTCAGCAGAGATTGTCATTAGCACACGTCGATTATTGAATAATTAAGAGTATATAACTCATTCAGATAGCTTTCGTTGGAGTGCACTGAAGCTGTTCTCACGTGTAGAAATAGTGCTTCGCCTTGAAAAGGATCTGAATGTAAAAAGAATTTTTGCCAACTAATCTTTTCTGTTTCACGCTTCCATTCCTATACATCGATGTTTTCAGAAAGCGGAGTGCGAGTACTTCAGCTCTTGAGAAGCTTTATTAACACAATCAGATTATTTTCTCATTCTTGTTATCCTTCATGAGCGTTAAAAAAGCTCGCGTTGTCCTATACAAGACTTTGAACAACAACAACTTCTTATTGAACAACTACAACTTTTTATCCTTTGAGGTCATCAAATCAGGCTTTTCCCTCCTTAATTCCATGTATAGTGACAGATAGTGACATATCTGCCACTATCTGTCCTTATACATGAATTCGCCACATAAATTACGCGCATATACTCAGACAATCACAGGCTCTCAGCCGGCGGCCACAAAGCCACCGCGCTTTTGAAGGGTTTTCGCGGTGGCATTGTGGCTGCCGGCTGAGAGCCTGTGATTGTCTGAGTATGCGTTTGGGTTGAGCCAGACTTCGCGGGGAAGCGGCGTACGCGGCGTACGCAGCGTACGCTAGGTATATTTCATCATAGGAGCATACGCGGCGTACGCTGCGTACGTCGCGTACGCCGCGCAGTCTGGCCCAACCCTTTGCGAACATATGTTGGTGCAGAGGAGTTTAAGATCTAGATTAAGGTGAGGTGCAGGATTATGCTCAATACGGGCCAATATTGTGGACTTTTCACCCCTGCTTTGAAGAATGTTGAGTTTTCTGTTCTGGCTGTCCGATTATGTTCGATTTTTCGTCCTGCCTGCCCGGTTACGAAACTCCGTTTTATTTGCAACGTCTGTTCTACCTCATCTTGCATCATGCGCGTCATCACAATCATAATCATTGTCATCATCATCATCATCATCACAAGCAATATGCAAGATAAGGTAGAATAGACGGTAGAAATAGAACAGTTTGCTGTAACAGGGCAGCCAGGACAGAAAATCCAACATCTCAACCAGCAGGCATGGAAGGTCTGCAATATTGAGTCCGTATTGAGCATAATCCTGCACCTCACCTTAATTCAGATCTTAAACTCCTCCGCACCAACATGTGCTCACCGTCTGAAAAGAAAAGAAGACGTGAAATGTAAAGAAAAACAAAAAAACTTACCTATCTAGCTTTAATCGACTACGACCCAGCAATATCAGGCGTGCGCGGCGCAAAGGCCGTACGCGCGTCCGACTCTCGCGATCCTGCAGGCCCCTATAGTTTCCACTGTAATGCCGGCGAATTGTAGGCGCAAAATGCCGGCAGTACTGGCGTGGCTACTTCTTCACGCGCAAATTTTACCGCATTTCACCTTCTGTGCAAGCACACTATATTAAGCGGGAAATCTACTCGACTGTAACTTTCGTCACTGACCAGAATGTATTACGTAATTACAGCCACAAAGCTACTTTATGCTTTTCCTAGCACGCATTTCAAAAGCACCGTTCAAGCAAATGGATGGTCAGAGCTTTCAAGCTGTATAATAGCGGAACCCCTACATACGCGATCGCCCCTTGCTGCAAAATGTGAAGATGCGAGAAAATTTCTCCAAAATTGCAGGCGCCGAAGATCCTCCGCCTATCGATTTGAAGATGAAAAGTCCGATTAGGCTTAGTCTTACAATATTAGGTTGGTTCACAATTAGATGCACGTTTTTGTTTTTTAGACGTTAGTGTTCAGGATAAACCTGTTTAATTTGGATACCTTTTGTGCTGCCTGGGACCCCACTTCTCCCAGTCTCTAATATGGTTTTTCATTCGTAAATCTTTGTTTCAAGCGAAGCTTCATGCTTTTAATGATAAGCGATAAAAACTTGTAAAAATTTTCTTGCACTTTACTTTCTCCGAAACTACGATAAATGCACAGATTTTTCTAACAGCAACTAATCATAACCCTTCAACTTTGTACACTGCCATTATCACCATAGAAGAAAGGAAAACTATTAACCTAATAGAAGAATTTCTTGAGATAATGTCGTCAAAAGGAAACATTTATTCGCATTCGGGTTTCAGGGCTAAGCACTATACCGGTCATGCGACTTCTTTGGTGCCCCTCATCAGTAGTTCCCAAGGAAGTATAAAAGGTAAATAAGATAGAATACGTTGAAATATATACGAACCCAGTAGATCTTAGTGGCATGAGAAACAAGTGATATGTTGAGGACCATGGTATAACTACCAAGTTTTGGCGCCAACAAATGCCGCGCTGTCACTAGTCCATGTTATCAGTCCATGTTTTTCGCACCTCATGCATAAGTGGAAGATGCACACTAGTAATAAAACCGTACTTACGTAAAATATAAGACGATGATACGTATTGAATATGACTTTATATAAAATA